TCTTGTCTGCTACCACTGGAGTTGTCTTTGCGGTGGAAGCCGCCGCATCATCCTCTACTCGGATGTGCTCGTTGATTCGCTGCATTAGTTGGCCCATGGATGTTGGCTGGCTCATGGTAAGCGAGTCCCGCAAGCTATACCCGGCCAGGAGACCGCGCTTATATTGGGTGATTGCCAAGTTGATCGGGCAATCCAAAATCTCATTGAAGGTTTAATAGTATCTGGAGTTGTATGCTTTGAGTGTGTCGTTCGGCTCCATTTTGACACTGAGAAGGTGGTCCACCTTCTTTGGCGTTTTTGTGTTAGTCTTGAAACGAGTCATAAATGCTTCCGCCAACTGTTACCACCTTTCGATGCTTCGCTCCGGTAGCCTCTCAAACCATTTCAAGCCCAGCTCACCCAAACTCGACGGAAAGATTAGGCATATAAGAGCGTCATTGCGCCTATGTCCGACCATGACCTGTCGAAAGTGGCTTACATGCATGTATGGATCGGTCTTTCCGTCGTAGAGCGTAAACTTGGGCCGGTGGAAGCCCGTGGGGAGATGAGTGATTTCTATCTCAAGGGAGAAAGGGGTGGCGCTCAGCCTCGCCAAATCTGTGTCTAGAGGGAGAGGCACGGCTGGGTGGGGTGGTGGCATTATGACCTCTTCATTGGTATGACCCCCGTAAGATAGCCGTTGGAGCGCTGGCACCCTTTGAGTCTCTCGCCGGTGAGCCCGTTCCTTCAACACTACCCGCAAGTCCTCGGAGCGCGCAGAGTAGGAATACCTCGACGTCGTCGCCGGACGTGAGGGTTAATAGGTACTGTCTTGCGCTTGACTTCTCTGCAGGCGCATCGGAATCTCTAACCCTGACACTTCTGGTAATAGAAAAGGAGGGAGTGTGCCGCTGGCTCTGACTGCCTGAACGGCGTGGTTGGGTGCGCTCACTGTGGTCTCCCACTCTAGCAACACCCTTCCCTTTGACATGTCGCTTGAGATCTTCCATCTCTGCCGCCATTCTTCGGATGACGGCGTCTTGGTTCTCAACTTGTGCTCCAGACGTCTGGCGTGTGATTCTCTCCGTCGCCGGTGTCTGTCTGGGCTCCGAGAGTAACCAAAACTCCTTCTGTGCTTATCCCGCGCGTCTCTCGAATGTCCTCCTGGGGAAGTCTCCAAGTCCGCCATGGGTGGAATGGCCAGGAGTCTGTCTGGCTGATTCCGAGGTAACTCAGTCGATGGCGGACAACGGTATCTCGTCGTTGTTCGCCATGAAAGGCGATCAGAGACAAGGTTTTGTCTATTAAGTTTCCACAGACGGCGCCAATTGTACGGGGAGCAAATATTCTGCAGAGCCCGTACTCCTTTCTACCAAGCTCCTTGTCCATCCGACCGACCTGCGAACACAACGGCGGTGAGCTACCCGGCGGTGTGTGGCCGAAAAACCCTTCCGACGGTCAAGTTAGCACACACTCAAGTATCTAGAGAGAGTTTTGTGTTTAGGGTGTTCTCACCAAATGATGTTCTGTCCCCAGCATGGGGGACGCAGACACGCTTATATACTTTCTGCGCCCAAATCTGCTCCCATTAGTCTTTTGACACGTGGTGCTGCTCTCCCATCTGTCAGCACAAATCCTACAATCACCACCTAACCAAACCGTCAAGCTATATTACCGGAGCTCGGCAGACCGGCGGAACCACCTCGGTCTTTCACGATCGCGCTGCGCAGCGTACCCGAGTGCTCCACTCACCGAGCTCCAGAACGACCGAGCTCGGTTGCATTCTGGTAAAGCCGAGTTCACGATAGGTCGAGCTAGCAAACCGAAGGCCTTCCTACCGCCCTAAACGCGTGAACCGTGAAATCCAGCATGGCATGCAATCATCTCGGCCGAGCAACTCAAGTAGCTCGGTTTTCTACATAGACAAGCCCAAGTAGCTCGATCCCCACATGGTCCTGGGCCTCAACCGAGCAAAACCTTATCTGGACTAGTCCAAGTTATCACGGCCCAAACATGTTCGGCCTTTCATTTTCCCCAGCCTTACCATGGCCCATTCCAGCTCATAAATCTCCCTCTCAGTACACTAACAAATTTTTAAGTGTTTTTGTGTGTTCCATTAGGTTGTGTTACATTGGAGTGTTACGTTTGAAATTACATTAATTAGAGTGTTACATTTAGGAAAAACACACTAAGAAATTTTTTTTGTGTATTACATAAGAGTATTACATTTGGAAAAAGTACATTAAAAAGTTTTTTTTTGAAGTGTTATGCTATTACGTTTGAGAAAAATACACTAAAAAGTTTTTAATGTATTACATTAGAGTGTTACGTTATTCAAATATTATATTGGAGTGTTACATATTTGTTCATAATGTGGGATTTGTTACCGAATGAGGAAAAATTTAAAACGAATTGCCCAAATGTGTAATTTAACATTTAGAGAAACTCACTTTTATTCTTCAAAAATTAAACCAAAATGTGTAAATGACTATCTTTTTGTATAGTTTATACTTTAATGAGAACTTTAGATTCATAATAAAAATTAAAAATTAAACAATTTACAATATCACATTTTAGAATTTATAGGTACTTCACCATAAATTTAGGAGAAAATTAGTGAAACATCTCTCTCTAATTTTGTGTAGTAGAAGAAGTGAATGTTTTTTTATTTTATTTTATATTTTTTTATTAACTAAGGTTTTTCAACATTTTCACCAAAAAATTTCGCTCGGCTCAAAGAAATTTCGTCACTGATTCAAAAAAATTTATCTGATTTCACAGAGAAATTTTAAATTTTTTCTGGTATGATCACAGAGAAATTTAAATTTTTTTTGAATCAAATAAAATTTCTCTAAATTGAATTTTTTCAATAAAAATATTTAAAAAATTAATTATTATAAAAAATATTATGGGCATGTTTGGTTTGTGTTTATAGAGTAATTTTTGAGATAAAAAATATGAAAACTTGTTTGGTTTGTCTTTTTTAAAAAATAGTTTTGAAAAATTGTTTTGGAAAGAGAGTTTTAAAAAAGTGATTGATTTGATGTGTATGAGAGAGAGTAATTTTGGAAAGTAGGTAACCAAACAAAATTTGAGTTTTTTTTTTTAAAAATTGGTTTAGTTTGATTATACTTGAAAATTTGTTTGTAGAGAATTTTTCCCAAAATATTTTCTAAAAAAAAACCAAACAAGGCCTATATATCTTTTATATTATAAAATTTATATTAACTAAGGCCAAGTTTGGCAATTGCAAAATAATTCATCTTTTTATCTTCTTTTTTTTTCCATTATATCACCTCTTTACTTTTCTACATATCTTTCATAAAAAAATAAAAAATATACTTATTTAGGTCATTCCAGGGAACTCCTACCTTAATATTCTTTTTTAAATTTACTTTTCTAAAGGCACGGTGTAAATAATATTAAGATTAAAATGCAATTATAAAAATATATTTAACAGACTGTACTCTACAATGCACATCAGTCAATGCTCTACAATTTAAAAGAAATTAAAATTAAAATGCAAACCAGTTAGTGCTACTGCTGCCAATCAAATCTCTAAGAGAAATTAAAACCGGTGAATCAAATCTATAGATGGTATGTAGCTTCACAACAAAATTCATCCTATGACATCTGGTAACCACACAATTTAGAAAATATAACGCACACACATCTATTCTATCATTGAGCAAAATTGTTTTCATCTCCAAATGCAAGATGCCTACTTTTTGTAGAGTATTGCTGTGTGATTACCAATTTTTACACCAAATTTATATATCATTTTGACATGTAATCACAGAATTATTGCATCAGTAGACACCTTTCATGCATTAAAATACACATATGCATGACATATAAGATGCCTCCTCAGATGATGGAACCTAACTGTATAGAGATAACTTGAAAATGGAGCCTAATAGCAATAGGAACAATACATTATTTACCTGTATAGTATAGAGAAAAATTGACATTTTTTTCACTACCATATTCCATATCAGTTTAGGTGTTTTCTTTTGTCTAACATTAATAATACATTATTTAAAAGAAATACAAATAAAACAAAAATGATTGCCTACAGAAAATATAAGGCACAATAAATATGGTAAATGGACCATCCCAAAACAACTGAGATTAATGAGTGATCAAAAATATCCTAAATGTAGAACTGTTTCTAGAATTGGGTAATCATAATGTTCAAGATAATATTGTGCAACTGATTTAGCTACTTCTATTCAAATCAATCACAGGGACAATGGGTTACGTTTGTCAGACCCACATTTGAATCCCTGATATAGAATATATATGGTTATAGAGAAATTTTCAAGTGTTAATCCAACTAAGATCTATCAAAAGCAACAGTTGCAACAGCTGATCATTACATAGCCACACTACACACCACAAAAGAAATTCAACACTAAAAAGAGTTAGAAAAAATTATGGACCCTACCTTAGGCTAAAGATTGGTTATTGTGGACCTCAGCACAGTGATCTTCATATGGCAAATACCAGTGGGGGAATTGAACAAAAAGAGCGAAAAAACATAAGGAACATCCAATCTAAAGATGAAATACTTACCAAAAAAAATCTAAAGATAAAACAGAAGTTAACAGGTAACTTTCACTGGACATACCCTGAACAAAAGCAAGGGTACATAATATTTATTTACCGAATGTTGATCAGCAGATTTCTACTATAAAGCACAAAGAATCCCAAAGACGATGTCAAATTTTTATCGAAGGAAAATAAATTACATACATAGTCAATAAAAAACAGAAACAAAGAATAGTACGGGATGTTGGTTGAAGAACAACTGTAGGAGGCATTGCAGTTGCTTTGATAGGCTGCATACTCCTAGCAATACATTTTCTGTATGGTTTGGACCAAATCATTCTGTGTTCAACACAATATAAGCAAACACTACTCAACTACACAAAGAGGAAACAGTGGATTACTCAACTGTAAGGAAGATGGCTTGCCAGGAACAACAGTACCAAAAGTGCTTGATTGAAACTTTGCAGAATTCAGATTGCGATTGAAAGACGACACATGAAACGAAATAAAACAATAATAATAACAACAATGAGAGCAATTTCCATGTCGCACATTGCAATCCATGAGTAGTGAAAACTAAATGACATAATGTGGAAACAAAATTAGAACAAAAATAAATAAATAAATAAAAATAAAAAATACACATACAACATAATTAAAAAAACAAAGAAAGTTCTAAGGTTGAGAATTTAACTGGAAAAAAAAAAATTACCAACATCTCAATAAATAAACATTACCAACATCTCAATAAACATTACCAAAAAGAGATATGTTAGAATCAGGTCATGGTATTTGAAAATAAATAAATAAATAAATTTAAAAAATAAAAAATAAAGTGAGAAGTTAAGTTTTCAATAACCTAACTGATGTTTTCATGATTTTCAAAATAGGAAAAATCAGCTCATGAAATAAAATTAATTCTAACATATTTTAATTAAGGCAATATAAATGAGAAACAAATTGTATTGAAATCTACAGGCATAAGAAACGTAAGTATTGAAAATTTTAAAATGAAAATAACAAATTGTAATTGAGAGAGACAGTTGAGATGAGATGAAATGAACATAGAGATGAGACTCAAACAGATGCTGTTGTTTCAAATTGTGAAACTGAAATCAAAATAGAAGGAAAAAAATGATGAGGTATGGACAGAAACAATATATTTTGTCCACAAAATCACATATTTTTTCACTCCACAAAATCTACAGGCATAAGAAACATAAGTATTGAAAATTTTAAAATCAAAATAACAAATTCTAATTGAAAGAGATAATTAAGATGAGACGAAGTGAACATAGAGATGAGACTCCAACAGATGCTGTAGTTTCAATTTGTGAAACTGAAATCAAAATACAGAAGGAAAAAAATGATGAGGTATGGACAAAAACAATATATTCTGTCCACAAAATCACAGTTACAAATCAGTTAACAGACTACTTGATTATTAACAAAAGAATATTATATATATCTACCTGATTAAAGTCTCAGTGTGGTAAAGCACAACAGCTAACAGACTGTACACACTCGCAGTCGTACGATGATAGGGACCACAGACAGCTATCATCTTTGCCAATGCCTTCAGAATCAAGTAATACAAAAAATTGTGATTGATTTTTGTACCCGTTAAGAATAGAATTAAACAGTTTACTACAGACATGATGGCTTTGGTACCTTCGTCCCATAGTTGACAGCATCTTCTAGCTTTCCTTTATCGAGTGCCATCTTTGATGACTCCAATAGGGTCCGCCCATCTGCAGAAGAGCATCCTACATGCTGTGTAGCATATGGTTCAAACATCTTGGTTATTGCAAGGCACGTCACACTAAATTTAGATTGTAAAACTTTCAAATCAAATGCAATTTGTGTGAATGTGTGCAAGTGAGAGGGAGAGAGAAAGAGAAAGAAACCCTTACTTTACACACAGGAACAATGCCGATAATATCAGATTTCTTGAAAGGGCTTGGGCTTTCCATATCATAGTCTTTCGGAAGCAACTCCAATCCAACCTGGATATTTATAAAAAAAAAAAACAAAAAAACAAAAAAAAAAACAAATGAAAAAAGAAACATTAGAATCTCATTCTAATGAAACCATGACCGAAGGCAATAAAAGGAGATGGTACGTTGTGGCAAAGTCCTCGGAGAATTGTTAATTTCCTCAATTGTTGAAACTCATCTTTTAGAGTCCAGCCATATCTTTTAGCTAGAAAAGTTTGTAACCACTGCAATTTGAGCATGTGATCACCACTCAAGTTATGTTCACTATCTTCTATTGTGTAGCCCCCAAGCAAGAAATTCAAGCATGAAGCTACTGATGTGGATAAGTCTGCCACATTATTAATAAAAGCAATAACGGCTTTAAGGACATGCTTGAAAGCTCGAGTGACCATCTCGTGAATACAAAGTGACTGTATATGAGGAAGCTTCTCTGCAAGTTCAACCTGGTTTTCATAATGGGATCAGGGCCAACAATAGTTAATGTCGTATTTTATTTAGATCAAATTTAAGCACTCCGCTGAAATTATGCTTCGTACAATCAAGTTACATAGATATTTAAGCACTCTAGCTTACATAGATATTTAACAATATTGATCAAGTTAGCAAGCACAATAATTTCCCTAAGAAATAAGATTTTCAGAAGCAACATTCCAGTCTCATATCATTTTGAGCTTTGTGGAGCGCTTGTGTATATGAGAGAGAGAGAGACGGAGAGAGAGAGAGAGATTATCTTTTTAACACACAACCCAAAGAGCGCATTTGTAATCCTCTTAGATGCATGAAGTCAGTCCGTCCATCAAAGTCTGTTTCCTAAAATCACATATTTTTCACTCCACAAAATCACATATTTTTTCAATATACCTTCTTTAATTTACTTGGGATTCTGAACCCATTTGGTATCATTTGCCATGTTTATTAATTAATTGGTTCACAAAAAAAGCAAAG